GAAGATGCATGTTATATTACATGTAGTAGTACATGATTTGTTTTGAAAATTTTTATATGTCAATTTTGTACATATAGTAATTCTTGTACTAGTGGGACCGTTTGATGTAATCAATGTTTCTATGTAATGAAATATGTATTCTATGTAAATGTGGTGTTTGGGGCGTTACAAATACTCATTCGAAAAAAACAAAAATATGTTATATGATTATTGAAACAAAAATATTTTATAAAATCAGATTAATTTCATTCAACACAAGACTACAAAATACCAGGTTGACGTGCAATAATTTAGGGGTCATTTACCAAATGTTTACTTGGGTAAGCGTTTACCAAGTTACGTCACCTCACCGGATGAATATGGTAAGTACCAAGAATCTTACCCGAAAAGAGCGAGACAAAAACCAAGAGTCTTACCTGGTAAGTGAGAGCGACGACTCTTATTATGGTAAACACTTACCGGATAAATTGTTGTATGTGATGTCGTTTTTATGGACTAAAATCTTACCCAGTAAATAAATAATATTGTTAAATTTTATTTATAAATACTTATTAGATAAGTATTTAGTAAACGGCCCTTTAAACTCTCCATTCCAAATTCAATAAAAACCAAGATATTTATTTATAACTGTAGATGAAACATTTGAACACTAAGTTGCTGTGGTGTAGTGGTTATCACGTTAGTCTTACACACTAAAGGTCTCCAGTTCGATCCTGGGCAGCAACATTTCATTTTTTCGCAAAAATATTATTTTTCTTCCATTTTTTAATAATTGTTTTTTTTAAGTTTATAAAATTTATACACAACAAATAGAACAAATAAACTCACACACCATGTTTATCTCATATGAAGCAAACACTTTGTAAAACAAATATATGTTCACCAATACATTAAACGATAGTTTTAGATGCAAAAAAATCATGTGAAACAATACCTTAAAATAAAGGTTCTCACGGTTTATCATAATATATGGAGTTCTTAAATGATTAAGTCTGAACTTGGGTAATTGTAATATTTGTGAGTGGTCAAGTATCAACCATTACTTTTTTTTTTTTTTTTTTGGCTTTGCATTATAATATATCAAGTTTTTAAACACATTTAAACCGTCCAACCCCAGACCGCACCAACACAAACCGACATGTAATGGGTTAGGTTATAAATTAAAGAGGATTAAATGGGTTATGACTTTCCCAACTGAAATAGTTGGGTTGGGTTATTCAAATGACTTCAAACCGTTCAACTGAACCAATGTATAACCATACCAAAAACGATCGAAAAATAGCTTCGATGATTTGCCCCTTTATCATATAGCTATCAATTATATAAAAGTTTTAAATTAACTATTGAACTATAAAATAAAAAAATAAAACAAGTAAACAACTTTGCAGTTGACGTTATTCATTCCAGTCCAAAATGACATAAAATTGTAGACATTGTAATGAAATCATTGAAATATTTGAGGAGATTTTTATACAGAAATCATCAATGTAAATTATTTTTGAAAGATATTTCCATAAAGTGAAATGACAACAGAATTCATAATGTGAAAGAGATCAACTAAGGGGCCGTTTACCAAATATTTACCCGGTAAATGCTTACCAATAAAATTTAACATTATTATTTACTTACTGGGTAAGTTTTTAGTCCACCAAAACGACATTGAATGCAACAATTTACCCGGTAAGTGTTTACCGTGGTAAGATTCGTCGCCCTCACTTACCGGGTAAGACTATTGGTTCTTGTCTCGCTCTTACCGGGTAAGATTCTTGGTCCTTGCCATATTCATCCGGTGAGATAATGTGACTTCGTGAGTGCTTACCCAAGTAAGCGTTTGGTAAACGGCCCCCAAGTATTTTGACGACGTAATCGATAGGGAGACTCAATGACCAAGCGTGCTAGGACTAGTCAAATATAGTCAAGAACTTCCATGCCACTGATTATTGATAACGAGCCCTAAATATTTACAGGGTGTTGAAATAGGTTGTATCTGGTGAATCTCGTGTTTATTTTCGAAACCGAGGTATAAACGTGTGTTATAGGAACAAAGTGCTACATGAACATTATACATTGTCAATAAGATATATGTTTATTTACAATATTGTTTTGCGAGTCATCGTGTTATCAGAACTAGTAATGGAGTGTTGGTTTGACATATACGTCTTTTTTCAGCCGCTAATATGTTATATAAAGAATCAGAAATGGATAGGTATCACAATTTGAAGCACAACTTGCAAGGGAGACTATGAATTTGTGGTACGGTTGTCCAAAAAAACGAATTTGGTATGAAACACAAACATGATCTAATTCGATTTCATTCCCTCTAGATTTTGTTAAAAGACAAACTTATTCGTACACAAATATATCTGATCGAACCAGATTCAGTTCCATTCTAAGTTCTCAGATTTCAATTTATTCGACAAATCATATTCCTTCTAAAAACACAATGATCTCATTTGGTTTGTGAAGTTCGATAAGATTTGAAATCGAATTTCATTTCAATCCTATGTTTGGTTTTTTTGTTTTTTTTTTTTTGAAAGGAAATCTTGTGTTTGGTTTGAAAGAATGCTTAAACTTAACATCCTTAGATTTCATTGAATCCCATAAACATGAGATTTAGAAATCTCGTAGGACTAGTTTGCGTCTCACAGGATTTCATAAGATTTATTTGTAATAATGTTTTAAATTATATTAAAAACACTTTATTTGTAATAATCAGTTAATACAAATGTAATTTAATTATTTTTTTATAATTTTATATAATTTGTTGTTATAAATTATTTATAGAATGAAATAAATTCAATTTCATTCCAAATCTTACAAACCAAACACATCAAAGATTCCAAATCATTTCATGAAATTCAAATAATTTTATATAATTTGAGTCATGCTGATAACTCTCATTTTGAGTGTTACTTACACATACTTGTGTGTGTTTTTATTCCATTTTAGTTTGCTTTCTCGTTTTATATGTTTATGCTTCTTCATTTATTTATTTATTTTTATTGAGTTGTTGAGAGCATGGTCGTTTCTTAGCATGTTAAATGTGAGATTTTGAACATGGCCCTCGAAATTTTGGGGCCCAAATTTACATATGGTTAGAGTCATTTTATCGACATGTGTAAAATTATAGCCGAAATTATTTAGGTTCAAATCATTAATTGTTTGGTTTTAGGTTCAAATTATTAATGATTTAGGTTTAGTTTCATACTGTTAATCGTTTTTGGTTTAGCCTATTCTTGTTCTTAGTATATATTCTTTGTTATCTCATTTATGCAATGTAATCAAAAGTTTTGGATGTAGCCAAGCCTCCAAAAATATTGGAACGTCCCTGGTTGAGAATAAAAGTTTGTATTTTATGGTTATGCGCATGATTTTTCGGTGAACTGTGAGACTATGCCCACAATGTCACCACACTGGGCAAAATTCATACTAGACAAAAAAGGGATGCATAAAACATCTGAAGAGAAAGTAAACCTGACTTTTACATGGAAATAGAAGGAGAATAACTTTGTTATCTAAAAAGCATTTTAAAGCTTTTTTCCATTGGAATTTTAGGAGACATCTCCTTTTTCTCCAAACAAGAATAAAAAATCTGGAGTTAAATTAATTGTCTTTACTTAGACTTAGTCACTTGAGTCGGGACTTTAACTCAACACAGACAAAGTGATCATTTGTAAGTGTTAATATTAGATTTTTGACCTAGAGATGGGCGGATACAGAAATACGGCTCAAGTGATGCAATAAGATTTGAGAAAGTCTTTTATGACCACGTAGAGATATGGGTTTTTGCATGATTTTAACTAAGGTTCAAATGTCGGTCGATATTAGTGTCACAAAGAATTTGATAGAGCTACAATTCCTAGAGGTCAACTTAGGGGCCGTTTACTAAACACTTACTCGGGTAAGCGCTTATCAAGTCACATTACGTCACCGGATTAATATGGTAAGAACTAATAATCTTACTCGGCAAGAGCGAGACAAGGACCATGAGTCTTACCTGGTAAGTGAGGGCGATCGACTCTTACCACGGTAAGCGCTTACCGGGTGAATTGTTGTATACAATGTCGTTTTGATGGACTAAAATCTTACCCGGTAAGTAATTAATAGTGTTATATTTTACCGTTAAGCACTTACCGGTTAAGTGTTTGATAAACAGCCCCTTAGTTAAATCGACAAGTCTTGAGTTGGCAAAAGTGTGACTTTGTGGGAACTGTCTATAAAAAATCACCTTTGAGATATCGGGAATTTTATAGACGTTTTTGTGATACTTTTTTCTGACTATGAGGTTACTACAAATGTCTTAGATAATGCTTACACCCATACTATTTTCTTTAAATTAATTGTCTTTACTTGATTGTTAAATTCATCCAAGCTCGCTCAAAAATGTTTTCTTCTTCTCGAATTGAAATCTGTGTATTCTCGATTTAGAACTCGAAACCTTGAAGTCCAATCCATATGGATACGATCTCGGAATTATTACTACTATATTACTTGTAGCGATTATAGCATTGACGTACACTTGCACCGCCAATGTGGGGACATTGTGTCCACTGTGTGAACACATACTATTCTAAGCTATCAAACGCCTTTGAGAATCGTTGAAGGCCTTATTATAACGGCAAAGACACGTGTTATATTACATCATGGACGCCATGCCATGCATTATATTGCACCATGGACGCCATGCCACGCATTATATTGCACCATGGACGCCATGACACGCATTTTTAAACGATGGTTACGGCTTACAAAAGGTATTTCTTTTCTTACTGGGCTTGAGCTTGTACAAACAGCTAAAGATGGTCAAAAATCGATTTCAGACAGGCTCCAAATCAGTCCTAATCCCAATTTTGTCTTTCCATAACCGGTCTAGGTCCCGGTCCCAACCAAAATACCAAGGCCCGATATCCTGGTCATTTGACCATCTCTGCACAAACAACCCAAATTTACTTTCTTTTTCTTTTTCCTTTTTATTTTAAATTTTTTCTTGGAAGGGTTTTGGAGACGACAGCAACTCCTGATTCATCTCCAAAAGTCTGACAAAAGCTCCAAAGTATCATCAAATCCAATCGATCCGAAGCTTTCAAAGCAATCCACTCCAGAGATTCTGCATTCAATCGCTTCTGCGTCAGAACACCACAACCATCTCAGGTTTTTAATCCCTTCTCTCTGTTCGCATGTCAATTTATCGTCAAATTGAGCAATCTATGTGGATTATATATACTACTTACTCCATCTGTTCCATATTCAGATTGAAACCTTCCAGATTCCAAGTTCAGGCCCTACTGCTTTTCAATTTCATATTTGACATGGTTAAGTTAGGTTATAAGATCCCAAAATATTGCAACCCTAAAGGTAAATGTAAAACATATTATATGAATAGCATTCCGATATTTGATCTTTAAGTGGGCTTGTTTCAAAGCCCTGAAACAACCCCTCTAACAACCCGTTCCACATGGATAGAAAAGTAGATTTACGAGCTCCTTGTAAGCTTAAAGTTATAGGCTATCAACAACTTCCATCATGGTTTTAAGTTGAACTAGAAGTTAATTGCTTTGTGCTTAGGGCGCTACAAATGGTATCAGAGTCAATCCTTATACCATCGGGATTGTGGGGCAAACCTCGTCAGGCATGATGAGTCCTTGAGGGGGTGTTTGTAACACTTTAGGCAAATCCTATATCGCCGACTACAAGGAGGTTCAAATGCGGTGACTTCAAGCTATCTGCCAAAGCAGGTGGTTGTTTGTAACACTTTAGGCAAATCCTATATCGCCGACTACAAGGAGGTTCAAATGCGGTGACTTCAGGCTATCTGCAAAGCAGGTGGTTGCCCTGGATTACTCGGCTCGCATAGCGGGTTGGATATCCAGGTTAATAAAAAAAAAAGGAGGATTATGGGAAGGTCTGACAAGGACGTTAGGAATTTAAGTGATGGAATATGAGCTCCGTATAAGCTTAAAGCTATGAGCTACCAACAACCTCCGCCATGGTTTCAAGTTGAACTAGAAGTTATCTCCTTTGTGCTTCAGTCGCTACACTACCCTCACTAGTAGAGGAAATGTCTGCCTTTTGAGAGCGTAGTTTTGAGTGGGATATGTTGGGTTTTTGCGTTACATTTGAGTGGGCTTCTTGGATTAGGCAGCAAAAGTACCAGTGTACCACAATATCTGTTTTTCCCCAGTGTCTCGTGAAATTGCAACAATTATTTTTGGATGTCATGTAATATTGCATTGTCTCAACATTTGATTTGAGTTGATCAAATGTTCAAAACCAAACAAATCGAGTAAACCAAACTCCAGTGTTTAAATACCTATGCAGAAACCAAAACCAAAAAATCAAATCATAAGCCGTTCCGTTCTGTTTTTGAGTTTTGATCTTTTTGGAATTTGCAGTAGGGTTTTGTAACCGAGCTTGCAGGAGAGCCCTACAATCTCAAACACATGGCAGGTGGTTCGATCCTGTTGAACGAACTCCATAGAAAGGCAACCAGCTGGGAGAAAATAGTTGATGAAATAGTAAGGTTAGAGAAGAAGATTTTTCCCAAACACGAATCACTTGCTCGATCTTTTGATGATGAACTCAAGAAGAAGAATAGTGGTTTGTTCTACATGGAAATTAACGGTGAAGTTGTTGGCTATGTCATGTATTCGTGTCCTTCTTCACTTTGTGCCATCATCACGAAACTCGCAGGTAACTTCACCAATTTCCTTTTTTCCTTTTTAATGCCATGAGTTATGTTTCTGAATCTAGTCTTGATTGTTGTTAGTACATATACGAATATAAACATGTGATTTTGCGTTAGCATATATTAGCGGAAATTGAGGTGAGACAGAGGTAAGGTTGCGTACATCTTACCTACCGGACCCTACCTCCGGATGGGATACACTGGGTTGGTTTGATTTTTAAAAAGATGAAGGAGTATGAAAATTTCAAATTATATATATAAGATCAAGTTCATGTGAGAACCACAAAAAATTAGAGAACCGGAGAGCCTTGCATATATACTTTTATTAATACATTTTTACTATGTATGCACAATGAATGTAAAGGTTCATTGTGTATATACTCATTAAAATTCATTAGTGTATATGCATCAATGAATGTAGGTTCTCCGGTTCTCTCTTTTTTGAGTTCTCACATGAACTACCCCCTATATACATACATACATACATACATACATTGGTGAATGATCATGTGAGAAAAACAGTTAAAATGAGAAACATAAGAAGGGACCTGGACCCTTGATCACCTTTGATCTCAAACCCACCCATGAATTGCGCTTGATACGGGATTGATCCGGTGCATCTCGTTCTAATGTGCATCCAAGGGTGGAGATCCTTTCTTCTCTCTTTAACTCTCCTTCTCACCGGAACCCGACCCTATATATAGGGGAGGGATAAAATGCAAACCAAGCTATTTGTAGAAACCATGAAAATCGTCGATTTCATTGTTAATTTTATTGTTTAATATGATGAAAATGTTCCATATATTTTTGTTTCTATTTCAAAATTAAATTGTTTCATGTATTTCTCATTTTGTTGAAATTTGTTTACTAAAATTAATAAAATGAAGATGATAATGTTCATAATTATTTGAGACAATTTCATGAAAAGCTTTCACTAAAATAACAATGAAATCGACGGTTTTCACGGTTTGTATAAATGACTTGGTTTGCAAAATAACCCTCCATATAGATACACACACATGCGCGTGCACACACACACACACACACACACACACACACATATATATATATATATATATATATATATATATATACGACGATAATCATATGAGAACCACAAAAAAGTTACAAACCTGTGAGAAATGATATAAAAATATCTTTTTACATTATTTTTTTGATTAAAAGCTATAATTTAACATATGTTTGTGTTCATCTTATGAAAAAAATTTGCATATAGAACTTTTTTTTTATTCACTTAATGAACCGAAAATTGCACATATGATAAAAAAATATTCATATGGTGAAACAAATACATGTGAAACTATCACATTATGAAACAAATATATGTGAAACAATATCATAAATCATCGCATTTGTTGAAAAAAAATCATGTAAAAATTTATTTTTAAATCGGTTCTCACGGGATTTATAACCTTTTTGGGTTCTCATTTGATTTAACCCCTATATATATACATATATCTTTAAGATCCAACTTTCTTAATCTTTATGTTTTTTATTTGAAACTTGTAACATTTCTAGTTCTGATTTTTCTTTATTGTCGTGTTTTTACCCATAAAAACTAGTGAAGGAGAACCATAGGAGACAGGGACACGGAGAGGCGTTGTTGAAAGCAGCGATGGAGAAATGCAGGATTAAAAGCATACATCGTGTGTCGCTTCATGTGGATCCTTTAAGAACTTCAGCAATGCATCTATACAAGAAACTCGRCTTTCAAATCGACACTCTGGTGAAGGGTTATTATTCCTCAGATCGAGATGCATATAGGATGTATATAGATTTTGATAAAGATTAGCTTATGGGAGTAGTCCAAATTGTTGATCCATATGGATTCTTGCAAAGGGTAGGTTATAAGGCCTCATATAGCTTCATCTACACAGGGGTCTTCATGGAAACAGTCTATCTACCCCTTGGGCTACAGGCAGATAGTATGCGGACATCTTATCCCTTTTTGGTCTGGTTTGTTAATTTGGTTATTTAAGCTTCATCTATAGTTTGTAGTTACAAATTCCTTCATGGGTGTTATGTACAAGATTACATGAAATGACCACCCTCTTCACCTTATACCAATGTTATCTATCTATGTTATCTTATAAAGCAAATTTAACAAAAGTCTTAAAGTCTTAAAATACTAAATGACCAATATACTCTTATATCACTTTTTCACCCCCTCCTTTCTTCACATACATTCATCCTCTCATATACATTCACTCAACCCCATTTTTTTTAAATTATAATTTTAAATTTACACTTTATACCTCTATAATTAGTTGATTAATTTACTTTACGTCCTTTACTTTTAAATGTTTTATTTTAAACCTTTATCAAATTAATATGCATAATTGTATATCAATTAACATATGTTTAAAAAATACATTTTTATTTTAACAAGTTACACTATTATAATCGTCTCGTTAATATCTTCGAAATGAGTCCAATATTGAATAGTTTTTGACTTAATTATATTATTATATATACTGTGAAAAAATATTTTTAATATTTACGATTTATACTTTTATAGTTATTTATTTATATATATACTATATATTTTGGGGTTAGGCTGATTAATTGCACTGTATAATATGTTCTGAATTAATATGTTCTTGAGTTTTTTTGAAATATATATATACATGTATTAATTCAACCTTAATCTGAGTTTTTGGACAAGAAAGATGGTAAACAGTTGAAATTTCATTCTAAAACCCATCTTTTTTGGTCTTTTCATGACTTATGATATGTCAAATTTGTAGTTTTCTTCATTTGTGGAATCATTTAAATATGTTGGATTTTAAATATATTGGATTTTAAACTGTTATATAATTTTTTTCATCGATAGTCTGTAATTGGAACCATAACTCTTATTTATTCAAATTGTATTAATATGTAAAGACCAAATGTAACATATATCATCATTAAATCTTATCTTATAAAACCAGTGGAACTTCAAAATCGTTAAAATTCATGGCTCCCGCCGCATTGCACGGATACAAAACTAGTATATTGTTATACACTTTCTTTTTATGTCATTTAGAAATATTTGCCAAAAAGAAATGCATATCTAGAATTTGCACACTTCATATTATAGGTGTTTATCAGTACTCATTTGTTTATTTAGTAAAAATAAGTGAACCAAACCACAAAGATGGTGTCTGATTAGTTTGAGCTTGGCTCCAAAGGTCAAAAGTATCAGGAGATCCCATGTTCAAATCCAATGAGGAATAAAAATTCCCTTGTGGTCACGAAGGTTCAAATGCGGTGACTCCGGGCTATCTGCAAAGCAGGTGATCGACCTGGGATTAGTTGGTTCACATAGTGAGTTGGATATCCAGATTAATAAAAAAAAGCAGTGAACCGAATAAGGTTTGGGTTAAATGGTCTCGAGTTGTTTTGAAATTGTTAGTAGAACATGATTAATGATGACGAAAAACACATAAGTCGGCAAAATTAACAAACATTCCAAAAGAATCGTTAGAATTAAATATCAAAATCATCCAAAAAGAATAATAAAACTATTAAGAATTACGACATGAAAAGCAGTAAGAGGGGTCGGTAGAAAAAAGGTTGGATGTATCAAGGAGAGTACTACAAGGATGAAAAGTGTTATTTTTGATAAACCACAAAGACCAAATTTGTAGTTTACTCTAAATAAATAAGACTTGCGGTTTATTAAAAATTGTTATTTTATCCCTTTGCCTTTGAAATTACATTTTTACCCCTTATACTTAACGGTAAACCACTCACGAAATTAAGTTTGAGAATGAAAACAACAATGAGTTATAAACTATTGAGATAAAAACTGTAATACATTGTAAGCACAAGGATGGAAATCACAAGTTTTAATTAACCAATGGACTAGAATAAAGAACGGTTTACTCAAAAAAACAATTGAACGTTTTTTCTTTGAGGTATCAACAACTTTTTGGTCTATTTGATTCAGATATTTTTGTTATCTGGATTCATGTAAGATGTCTATTTTATATAACCCAAACTTTCCTTATGTCGAAAAACGAACATAACCCTTCAATAAGAACGTCAACTTTTTGTTCTACTTGGTTCACATGGTTTATGTAAAATGCCTGAACAAACTCTATATTTTAAAAAAACGGACATAAGCTTTTCACAAAAATAGAAGAATCATTTTTGTAGATTCTTGATTTGAATTACCTTTTAAAACCCTAATTCTTGTATTTACCGTAATATTCTCTTCGTTGTTACCAGTTTTGAAATTAGAAGATAACCATCAGTTTGTAAAAATGTCCGGATTTGATCCCTCTCTTTAATGGTTGTTAAGAATTTCGTTGGATGAGAGACATTTTCGTCATTTTATCGATTTTTTTGTCCATTAATCAAAATCAATTTTACGATTTTCATTACTTGTGGTTTTTGATTGGGTAAAAGATAAAATGACAAAAATGCCCCTTACTTGATGAAGTTTTCTAACAATCATTAAAAGAAGGACCAATTCTAGATGTTTTTGACTTTTTGAAGGTCATCTTGTAATTTGGAACTGCATATACTAAAAATGTTACTTTTAACAAACTACAGGGACCAAACTTGTATTTTACTCATTTATGTAGTTATTTTCTTGCAAGTTCAGGGGAATGAAATTATTTTGAACAAGGTTTCCGAAAATGATGACAACGGTTCATCTTCCTCTGATAACTACCAGTCTCTCAAAAGCTCCAGCTATCATCACATCGATTCGAAGCTTTCAAACTAATCTAATCATCCACTCCACTTCCATACGAAGTTGCACAGTTTCTCCATTCAAGCTTTGTTGCATCCAAAAGGATAGCAATCGCAAAGCATCTCAGGTTCCAAGATTTAACCTCCTCTCTCTSTGTTTGCATTTGATGTTGTTACTCTCGAATTCAGCAATTTTACATGAATTCYAATACTTTATCTGTTCCGTATTCAGATTGTAACAAGCATCATATGTATAGCTTTTTCGATATTTCATATCTAATTAGGGTTTTTCTTGGATGATCGATTCTAGTTGTATGAAGGGGTGTCAACTGTAACTTGTGGCAGGRTTTTTCAATCTTGAAAACAGACTTCAATTGTGATGGTGGAACCACGTGGAGCACTATGGGTTTTTATGTGTTTAGCTTGCACATTCCTCTTAGTTTTGGAGGACTATCTGTTGTTGCACAATTACTGCATCAAACTGCTCTTGATCCAGAGACTCAGGTGATTGGACAAAAGTACCACATGAATTGTTTTTTCTTCACTATCTCATGAAATTGCAACAATTTCCTATTTTTAAGATGTCATATATTTGCAATCTACAACTACAAGTACCTGTTTTCTGTTATTATAACTAAAAATTGAAGCTATTGATTCTAGTCTACCTGATTCTTGTATTTTATTGTCCTTCAACGGTATGTTAGACATTTGATAGGATGGTGGTAGACTAGGTAAGCGCTAATGGATAGTGCTGATCAAAGCACTGACCGAGTCAGAAAGCTACCCCTTTCTTACTGGATCAATATAGTTGCGGGGTAGACTGCTTTGGTAAATATCATCCCTTCCTACTGTGTAAGCACCTCTTACGCAGGAAGAGTTGGTCAGCAAGTAGTAAAAAATCCTTAAACTTATCAAGTTTCATGAGATGGTAGTAATTTGCAAGATGTTGAASTAAACTGTGTACAAGTTACCTTCTTTGGTTTGAACTTTTGACAAATTTGATATTTTATAACCTTTTCTGTGTCTCAATAGGTATTRTCATTGCTTCTGTTACAAACTTTAGAGCTTGTTGCATTTATTTTGCTGCTGCGATTCTCTGAGAAGCCATTCAACATTCTTAGCTTCTTTGAAGTAAGAGTGTTGCCCAAGGAAAGGAACTGGTTACTGGCATCTGTGCTTGGTCTTTGTTTTCTTCTTGCGTTGGTCTTCYTCACATCGCTTGTAGCTGACAAGTTAATTGGGCCCAAGGTTAGTCTCAAAACAACCATCCTCTAATGGTCCTAAAAAAGGTAAGCTTCTTTCGAAAATCCAAGAGGGCTGAGATGTGACAAAGCTGAATTATTTGGCATGTCTCTGAAAACTGTACGGTCCGTGTAACCTATAGGAGGTAAATCCTTATCTTCAATGAAGATCAGATGTGAGTAGTTTAGTAATTTACCTATCTATCCTATATTCTTGATTTTTGTTCCACCTATTGTGGTGGGACCCAAAACTACATTTTTGTCCCACTCTAATTGTCGCGCCAAACATAGGACAAGAAATTTTTGTAGGTGGATGAAAGAGTCTTTAGTATCGGGAAGTCGAAGTTTACAGTAGTGGTGTTTCTGATTCTCNCGCGCCAAACATAGGACAAGAAATTTTTGTAGGTGGATGAAAGAGTCTTTAGTATCGGGAAGTCGAAGTTTACAGTAGTGGTGTTTCTGATTCTCATTCTTACCTACCTATCACCTAGAGAACAATGCACACTAGAGGGTTTTACTTCGTTAATCCACCTCAAGTTTAAGAGTCACTGGGATAACTTTTTTTTTTTTAAGTATATAATATTTATATGCTATAGATACTCATGCATTCGCCTCACTATTGATGACGTTTGAACCCTTGATGTCTTGGGAGGTTGGGCTCTATGGGTACCCCGGGTACCGCTGGGCCAATGACCCTTTGGTTGGATAACTTCTTTTTTATGGCTGTTATCTATACTTTGTTGGAGGTGGATGAAGATAGAATCGCAGAACAGTTTAGGGGTTGGTCTTTGGGTTGTACCTAATTCATGATCTTTCACATACAGCATGGTCCTGGTGGGCCTTGGAGTTTCATTCCAGCATCCTTGCTAACGGAGTATTTAGCTGAATCATCTTCTCAAAAACTTAATTTAAGAATTTAACCCTCGAGTGTATTTCTAAGCTTTTACGGGAGTAGACTGTTTTGAACTAGGGGTAAGCTATTTTGGACCAAGGTCCAATGGCACGTTAGATGAAGGTCATTGAGCAAAAATTATTAGAAGTCATGCTCCCAGTTGAAAACTCATTTAAGGTAATTTATCCAAAGGACCCCCTTGTTAACAATGTTGTTTGAAGATAATAAACAAAACGAAACTACCCAGAGTATATCCCACCCTGAGGTGAGGAGGTGGGATGTATGTAGACCTGACCGGACCTCTACCCCAAAGAGTAGAACGATCTTTTCCGTGAAAGCACCGACTGTTATGAAGATAACGACTATTTGAAACCTCCCTATTCTTACCATCTCAAGACAATGACATTTTTGTTGTTGTGATGCAGGACGTTAACAACCCTATTTTGAAAGAAATTCTTTCGGGTGGGCCCCTCTCGGTCATCGGATCCACCCTTGTTTACTGCTTCGTGACACCGCTTCTGGAGGAAACTGTTTACAGAGGGTTCCTATTGACATCTCTTGCTTCAAAAATGGAATGGCAGAAAGCAGTTGTGGTAAGTTCTGTTGTTTTCAGTGCAACTTATTTATCTATTGACAATTTCCTACAACTATGTGTTATTGGGGTTGTCCTTGGATGCTCTTATTGTTGGACTGGCACATTGATCTCTCCTTTTATCATTCACTCACTATACAATGCCCTCATTTTAGTTATCACTTTTACATCTTAATATTACTTTTCCCCCTTTTTGATAGGAACCATATCTTCCATAGCACTACATTTTTTCGGTCAAAAGTTGATTATTGGTCACTCCAATTGGCTCCACACAGAACCCGCCTCTAAGGACATCAATGTGGGGGGTGTTTTTTTGGTTCACTCAACAGCTGAGGCTAGCCGCAGAGGAGAGTGGGGGGGGGGGGGAGTTGAACCCAGGACCTATCTTTTATTCTCCATTCTTTGCCAACTGAGCTATACACTAGAGACCATAACATATTGACATTACATTTTGTCAACATGGTACAACATAGCAAATGTAAATGACTTGTGACCCATGATTGTCGTGTGGGACTGGTATGGTTGGGGCAGTTTGGAGGGTAGAAACCCTTTTCCATGACATTATGTGCATGTAATTATGACTTTCAGGTATGTTTGGCAAGCTAGCTAGTAAATTAAGCTAGCGGGAGGTTAGTAAAATATTTGATAAGTTGGATAACAATGAAAAATGGCCTTAATGGTTAGGGTTTTTGGTCATTATAAGGGGCATAATTGGAAAGAAAGTAAAAGAAGTCCCCAAAAGTTTACTGAAACGCTCCGGCTTTTCAAAAAGCTAGCTTACCAAAATGTAGTTTTTTCAATAAACTCAAAAAAAAAAAGTTAGTTTATGATTGCTAACCGTGGCCTAGATCATGAATCTACGGGTTGGTGGTTGGGAAAGGGGTGACTGTTTTATTTGATTTATTATCCAATTCGATTGACTTATTTATTTAGAGCATCTCCCATAGTTATACTATATTTAAAAAAAATAGAATATCAAAAGTTAAAATCCTTAAAAAAAATAAAGGGGGTTATGATTAATGAAAATAGAATATCGATATAGAAAGATATATCAGAGTTCGATTAGAACTGGAATATCTGGTAGTTATCTACTTGTAACGTATTCTTATATAAAGGGGCTTATGATTAATGAAAATTACATATTCATTTTCTTTATTTACTGTTATTCTATTTGGTTTTTCCTTTAACACGTTATTGACACATAAGCTCAATATTTATTGTTTATTGCCGCTAAACGCTTGTATTTTCTGTTTCCCAACACCATTGAATGGTTTGCTTCCCGCCACTTCAACTCAAGTGAGTATATATATATATATATATATATATATATATATATATATTTCTTCTTTATATGTGAGTATGATCATATTTGAATTTAAACATAGTTCATGATCTGACTTATATAATGTTTTTATTATTAATATCAATTGAATGTAACTTACAATTTCAAATCTTAAAATATTTTTTGGAAGTTACATTTCCAACCCTGATATATATTTTTGTCTTTTATCAAAATCTTCAAATATACTTTTAGGATGTTAAAAGTTTAAATTTGAATTTATGTCAAAATCAACATTTATATTGTTTCATGACATATTCTCTTAAAATATCATTTGGTGGCGTTTGGTTCGTAGAATATTTTTGGATGGAATGGAATCTGTTAAAAGAATTTGACTTTGAAGAAATTGGAATAGAATGTTGTCAGGTTTGACCACTTGTTTGGTTGGCAGATATTGGAATGAAATCTGTTAAGGAATTGAAATCTGTTTGTTTGGTTCACAGAATGTAGCTTTAGAATTAGAATAAAATATTGGTAAATGACCAAAATGTCCTTTTTTGAAAATTTTAATTTTTTTAAAACTAAAATACTTTAATAAAATAATTATTTAATATGTAAAACAATATAAAATACACAACCCAAATATAATCATAAGCCAAACAACATTACTAAATCAACGGTGGTTGGCGGTAATTCAGATCAGTGGTGATCCATAGTGGTTCAAATGGTGGTGGTCTACAATGGTTTAGAGGGAGGTGGTCAGCGGTGGTTCAAATAGGCGGTGGCGGAGGTGGTTGTTCAAATCGGTGGTGGTCAGCGGTGTCCAACGGTGATTCAGATCGATGGTAGTCGTCGGTGGTTGGCAGTGATATAGATCGATGGTAGTTGGCAGTGATATAGATCGATGGTGGTCCGTTGTGGTTCAGATCGGCGATGGATCATATCGGTGATGGTCAATGGTGGTTTAGATCGATAGTGCTTCAGATCGGTAGTAGTTGGCGGTGGTTCAGATCGATGGTGGTCCGTGGTGGTTCAGATGGCGATGGTCGACAGTGGTAGTTCATGGTGGTTTAGATGGCGGTTATCGGTGGTGGTTTAGATTGACGGTGAATCAGATCAGTGGTGGTTTAGATCGGTGGTAGTCAGTGGTGGTGGTCGGCGGTGGTTTAGATCGGTGGTAGTTGGCAGTGGTTCAAATCAATAATGGTCGAGAGGTGGTCGACGATGGTCATATTGAGTTTTATGAGATTAGAGTATATTATGTTAAGGGCATATTTGGTATAATGAAGATAGCGATTCCATTTCATCAAAATACCATGTAGTTGCTAAGGAATGTTAAATTCATTTATTTGTGGAATTTGTAGGATTTTGAAGATTCCTTTCGTGAAAAAGAATGAACCAAACGAGGGAATGAAATTTGGTCAGTGGAATTCAACATTCCAATTCCATCAGATTCCTCCAGAATCTGCGAACTAAACGCCACCTTAAGGTATTAAAACATTGAAGTTGGCTTCATAAACCAAAATCGTATTATTTTTGGCCTCATGCCAAAAGTATATAGCTATTACTGTTATCTTTAAATTGAATAAATCGTTTGATATACAAAAAAGTAAGTCTCTTCGGACCATACAAGTGTGCGTTGAGCCCATGCGAAGGGTTTGGTTAAGATATGCCAAATCGATTTTGTCAAAAGGGTGTATATAATCTTAAAGTTTTTAGGGACTTAAGAAATCCATATGATTCCTTTACTATCTGGAAATCCAATAGATTGAGCGACTTATTTTCGAAATTTTATATATGGATAAAGTGTTATCAACAAAATGTAAACATGCAAAAATCTAATGTTGTTATGATTATGAAATTTCACGTGCATTACAATTTATCTTATGATGAACAAAAAGAAGTTGATATATTATCACTTATTTACGTAAATGGTTGAAACAACACATTCGAGATTCGAAATCCTAAACTCAAAAGAACTTAAGTACCATAAATGAATATCCAATAAAAAGTATATTTTTGTCGGAAATGTACAATAATATACCTAAAACCTACCAAAGTCTATTGTCTTTAAAAATCAATTGTTAAGGTATAAGTAAATTCCTTGAGATTTTTGAGACTACACATCAATCACAACCTTCATAAGTAATATCATTAACTATAATCTCCAAGATTGTGGGACGTTCTGAAAGGGATATTCGCTTTCAAATAATTTTTTAGTTTCATAAAACCGAATATGCAAAATATAAAATATATTCAATCAATCGAATTTAACTTCTATTTTAAAGTAAAACACATGAATTTTCCTAAAACTATTTGAAGTTTTAACTTTTGAGTTTTGTCCGACTAAATAAACAAAAATCTATTTTGTTCGGTGAAACTTACTAAAATATCTGTATATTAAAAATAAAACCCTTATTTGGTTTAATCGATAACCACATGGAATAATTCAAAATCAAATAACCCAAAACCGTTAAAACCTAACCCTATTTGATTTAAATAGTTTGAAAAATATTGAAATTGAACAAATCGAACCAAATAAATCCCCCAAAAAAAATCACCCGTCAACAACTCGACATGCCTTCAATCAAAACGGATCTTGTATCACCAATATTTAATTCCTTTTTTTATATTAAATATATATGTTAGAGTAAACTATTATAAATTTGATTTTGTGGTTTGTTGAAAGTAACATTTTTTTATTTCTGTGGTTTTAAAATTACAAGATGACTAGAAAGGTATTCGCACACTGCAACGAGATACATCTTGATTTTTAATATTTTATTTTATTTTTTGTCTCAGTTGATGCTATAGTATGGTCTTATATGATTTTAAAAAAACGATTATGTTTTTATTTTTAAATAAAATATAAATTTGAAGATATTATTAAATTTTGACAAAAATATAACGATATTGATATCAAAATAATTATTTAAAATTCCTATTTTTGTGTAATTTTTTAATTCGATTTTTTATTATAATTAATTTAAGTTCAAAAACGAAGTAATTTATATTTGGTTTAGTAATATAATATTTTATAAAGATAATAATTAATTATTTTGTTAGAACTCGATAATTATTATAATTATGTTTTAGATTTTTTATATTTTAAAATGAGATGTTTATCCTATATTTGATTATGTTTATCCGCAGTTAGTTACACAAATTCAAACATGGAGCTTTAATAAGTTGACTTATGCATAATTACTTGTAATTTTGAATTTTAAGTAATATACATCAATATACAATACTTCATGCATAAAAAATGGTTTTTAAGAGTTTTTCTCAAATGTTTTATAATATAGTATAGATAATTGAGGTTTGTAAAATGTTTGGATTTAGTCACTCTCTCTAACGGCTGTTAAATAAAAGATATTTTCGTTTTTTTATCCATTCTTTTGTCTCTTAATCAATCAAAATCGATTTTATGATTTGGTCTATGTGGTTTTTGATTGGGTAAATGACAAAAAAAATCGATAAAAAGACAAACCCCATCATTCAAAGGATTTTTTTAATGGTTGTTAGAGAGAGAGAGAGATCAAATCTATATGTTTTTGTAAACCATGATGACTATCTTATAATTTTAAAACTATAAGAATGTAATGTGTTATCTTAACAAACCGTAGGGACCAAATTTTTAGTTTACTCAATATCTTATAGGGTGCGTTTGGTACGCTGGACAGGGTGGGACAGGACAGGACAGAACACATTTGTCCTGTGTTTGGTGTGGCCGAATGTGGAACTAAGTGGAACTAACTTGGGTAAACCTTGGACACCCGTGTTCCATCCTACCCCCCTGGAACTAAGTGGAACTCAACCCTATTTCCCTCTTTACCCTTTTCCCACCCGGCTGCAATATTGGAGAACGACCTAACCTTTTTCATCGCTCCATCGTCTCCATCGCTTCCTCCCTGTCGACGGCGAGTTTCAATCGACGGCCGACGAGTTCCAATCGACGGCGAGTTTCAATCGACGGCCTCCATCGCCTCCATCGCTTCTCTTCTCTCCATACCCAGGTACGCAATCGATCTGTGAGTAGTGAACGATCTGTGAGTAGTGAACGACATCTCCTTTCGTTCTTGATTGAGCTCGATCTGTGAGTAGTTTCAATCGATCTGTGAGTAGTGAACGGCTGCAATATTGAAGAACGTATGATTGTTAATTTCGTTCTACAATTGTTATCAACTGTTTAGGGCATTTCAATGCAAATTTGATTGTTAATTTCGTTCTACAATTGTTATCAACTGTTTAGGGCATTTCAATCGATCTGTGAGTAGTGAACGACTGCAATATTGAAGAACGTATGATTGTTAATTTCGTTCTACAATTGTTATCAACTGTTTAGGGCATTTCAATGCAAATTTGATTTATGCTACTTGATTCATTTGCCTTTGACCAACACTAATTTCGTTCTACAATTGTTATCAACTGTTTAGGGCATTTCAACTGTTTGTGAATATGATGTTTAAATCTTTTGATTTATTAATGTGAGTTTTTAATTACGATTGATTTTGGAAATTTTTTGATATTTTTAAATAGTATTTGTAAGCATTTATTATATTGATTATTTAGTGAAAAAAACACTAAACAGGTTACTGGGGGTAAATTGATCATTTTAACCTGTCCTGTCCTGTTATGTTTTACCAAACGCTGAACAGCTGTCCTGTCCTGTCTTGTCCGCGCACCAAACGCACCCAAGATAATGACGGCCCTGTATATGCCTGCTTCAAAATTCGAATCTCGTTTAATCCCCTCTATGCGTCCGCACTTAAACGACGTCCAACCAACCATCATCAACGACCCAACACTAATCAACTTAAAACAAATCTAACAACTTCTTTAAAATGGAGAAAATGAGGATTTTGAGTCGATATTTTAAATATAGAAAATCTAAAAAATAATTAGAATAATTATTGAGTTCTAATAAAATACTTAATTATTATCTTTATAAAAAATTATGTTATTAAACCAAAAGTAAATTGATTCATTATTAGACCTAAATTAAATTACAATAAAAAAATTGAATAAAAAAAATTACACAAAAAACGAGAACTTTTAAATAGTTAATTTGATACTAATATCGATATTTTTTTTTTCCAAAATTTTAATTACAATATCTTTAAATTTATATTTTATTTAAAAGTAAAAACATTATTATTTTCTCAAAACAATATAAAGCCGTATTATATCAATAGATAAATAATAAAATGAAACATAAAATCGAGATGTATCTCGTTATATTGGGCAAGTACCCTTCTAGTTTTAATAAATAAACTAGTTGTGTACCCGCGCAATGCGGCGGAGCCATGAATTTTAAAGATTTTGAAGTTCCACTGGTTTTATAAGATAAAATTTAACGATGATATAAGTTACACTTAGTTTTTACATATTAATACAATTTGAATAAATAAGAGTTATAGTTCCAATTATAGACTATCGATGAAAAAAATTGTATGACAGTTTAAAATACAATATATTTAAAATCCAACATATTTAAACGACTCCACAAATGTGTTCGATTTACACCAAGAGCAAAAAACCAAAAAACTTGAGTTTTAAGATAAACACTCAAAACAAATAAAGAAAACTACAAATTTGACAAATCATAAGCCATGAAAAGACCAAAAAATATGGGTTTTAGAATGAAATTTCAACTGCTTACCCTCTTTCTTTTTTGTCCAGAAACTCAGATTAAGGTTGAATTAATACATGTATATATATATTTCAAAAAAACCCAAGAACATATTATACAGTACAATTTGGACAGTCTAACCCCAAAATATATAGTATATATATAAATAAATAACTATAAAAGTATAAATTGTAAATATTAAAAATATTTTTTCACAATATATATAATACATAATAATATAATTAAGTCAAAAACTATTTAATATTAGACTCATTTCGAAGGTATTAACGAGACAATTATAATGATGTAACTTGTTAAAATAAAAATGTATTTTTTAAACATGTTTTAATTGATATACGATTATGTATGTTAATTTGATAAAAGTTTAAAATGAAACATTTAAAAGTAAAGGACGTAAAGTAAATTAGTTAACTAATTATAGATGTATAAAGTGTAAATTTAAAATTATAATTTTAAAAAAATCAAGAAAGTGAGTGTATGTGAGTGAGTGTATATGAGGAGATGAGGAGGTGAAAAAATGATTTAAGGGTAATACAAAAGATATATTGATTATTTAATATTTTAAGACTTACTTTTGCTAAATTTGCTTAATAAGATAGTATAGATATAGATAAGATATTTTAATATTTTTAAGAGATTTTCACTTTTGATTTTCAATTTTAAATTTTGTTTAGGAATCTTGTTGAATATGCTCTCACAAACTCATCCAAATCAACGGCCAAGAATCAAATCCCTCATTTTCATTTCCCTACGTCTCCGCCCTCGTTCTTCGACTCCTTCCCCCATCGCGAAATTCTGGTACGAATCGCTTTCATTTCTCTTTCTGGTTCTCTCTTAACAGACTAGCAAACTCGGAGATGATGTCCATGGAAGGGATTTTCTGTCTTGAAATTCTATCTGGAGTTCAACAACAAGCGCTTGTAATGGTGGATCTAATACCTCTACGGTTTCCAAAAAACTCTATACAATCTACACCTCGATGTTGTAAGTTTAGAGCTTTCTTCTTCTAAGTACAATATTTGAACTTGTTCTTCTGTGAAGTCAGGTTTTAATTCCAGATTTGAAGAATTGTCTCTTAAGATCGCTTCGGTTTCGTTGAATATTTTTGTTTATTCCGTTTTTTAAGTAGTTTAAGGAACGATGTTTGGTTTTATTTGTCGCATTAGCCATTATATTTGAAATCTGGTGTTGGTAGTGGAATTCAAGATTTCTAGGGTTTCAAATGGTGCTTTTGCTCTGTGACAATTGAAATTTGGGGAGTTGAGGTTTTTTAGGGTTTCATATGGTATAGTCTGGAGGAGTTATTGAATGGCTGGACGTAGTAGGGAGTTAGGATTTCTGGAAAGAAATGGTGTTATTAGTTTAAAAGAACAGTTGGCGAGAACAACTCTAAGGAATGTGAGATTGAAGGGTCATACGTATATTGAGCTTAGGGAAGACAATAAGAAGGTTATATTTTTCTGTGTTTTGTGTCTGTCCCCGTGTTATAGTGATTCGGTGCTGCATGATCATCTACGGGGCCATCTTCATAAGCAGATGTATGAAGCTGCTAAAGCTACCTTGTTGAAACAGAATCCTTTTCCGTTTAATGATGGGATGCTTTTCTTTCATAATTCTTCTGATGAAGACAATCATTTGTCAACTGCAAATGCTTTATGTGGGAGGAATTTGTTGCAAAAGCGGAGTATTAATGAAAACAGTCTTGCTATAGTTACCATTGAAGGAAATGTTTCTGATTATGAATTTTCATCCGAGGAAAGTTTGGATTCAGTAAGAGGTGAGGAGAGTTTAGATATTGATGATCTGATAATTCCTGATGTGCTGTATAAAGATAAACTTTCTGATTTAGAAGTGAGAGAAATTGGTGTTGGAAAAATTTCCATTAGGTACTGTGAAAGGGACGGAGTTTCAAAAGGTATTAGGAAAATTTGGTGCGAATGGCTTGGGAAAAGTGATTCAGTTAATGACGATGTAATTCCATTTCATGATTTTGCGGTCGTATCATTTGCATTTGACTGTGACCTGGGAAGAAAGGGGCTGCTTGAGGACTTGCAGGATATTCTTTCATCAAGTTCTAGACCAGCAATCGTGGGGAATAATAATGCTGATGGGAAGAAGAGGAAATCACCATCTGATCCTCAAGATTTTACTGAACCTTTGAGCAACAATCAATATGAATCTTCTGGGGAAGAATCTCTGGTGCCTGGTAGTTCTAATTCAAGGAGTCTTTTAGATGTATATGATGATAAATCACTGCAATTGAGACTTGTGCCGAGCAAATGTACGAGGAAAGAGATCAGGACACGCCAGCGTCTGGCTTCAGAAAGAGTGTGTGACATCTGCCAACACAAGATGCTACCTGGGAAAAATGTGGCTACACTTCTCAACATGAAGACCGGTAGAATGGTTTGCAGTAGTAGAAATTTGAATGGGGTACATGTCTTTTCTAAATCTTGTAATCTCTTTCAAAAGTCAATCTTTTATCTGACCCTTTATTTTCTTTTCAAAATGCAGAAGTTTCTTAGTTATTTAATTTAGTATATAATCCTGCAGGCATTTCATGTTTTTCATATTTCCTGCCTCATACACTGGGTCCTCTTGTGTGACTCCGAAGTTTATACAAAACAACTAGAAGGTCCTGAAGTAAAGAGGAGATATAGGCGGAAAAAAGGAGCAAGACTTGAGAAAGTTGTTAAGGAGACAAGAAAACAAATTTATTCAGCATTTTGTCCAGAATGCCAGGGTACCGGTATAGATATTGACGGAGATGAACTAGAGAAACCAACCATCTCTCTTTCTGAGGTTAGTGAAAGTGTTCATGTCCTTCTTTTGAGAGCTTATCATTTCAAATTCAGAGAGATACACTCTAATTGTTTCTTTCATTCACCATTTTCTTTTCAAGTTGTTCAGGTAGACTCTTGATTGGTATTGTTGTTGTAATACTAATGCATGGACGTATGTAAAGCATTTCTCTATTGTTTCAGATGTTCAAGTATAAGATGAAAGCTAGTGATGGGCACAAAGAGTACATAAAAAACCCTGAATTGTTGCAGAATTGCTCAACGGGCTTTGATTTCCCTTCCCAATCCAAAGAAGCAATGCAGGTTCTACAATTCCTTCTTTAACCTTTATTAGAAACTAGTTGTGTACCCATGCGGTGCAGCAGGATACAAGATTTTATTGTAAATTGAGGATGGAAAAATTAATGCAATTTCTCATCAAAAAAGAAAATCCAAAATTTATGTTTGAATACAACAGAATCACAAGCGGTGGTTGAAAACATGTCTTGTTAATTTCAAAGACCCGGTAAAAGAACCCCAAAAATTCATATCGTTATTGGTGTCAAGTTAAAGGTTATAAAATTCTTTTTTGATATAATTAGTTCAATTAAAAAATTTATAATAATTTAGATATTGAGATTTAAAAATGAAGATGTAGTTTATTTTAGTTTTAATGATGAAGTATTTCCTTTTGCTGATATGGAGTATTTTTGTATGTGGAACTGTAGATAAAGATAATAGAGTATTATGCCGTATTAGTGGGGCTAATGGTTATCCTCTATTTGAACGTGTTTATCGGTTTATTTATGGAGTTTAGAGAGTTTCAAAACATTGTGTAATTAAACTTGAAATTTATGGGATTAAGCATTACTAAGCAATATCTAATGCTTAATATTGGTTTTTACATATTTTCAGGAAAATGTGTCACCATTGAAGTTGCTTCGATTTTATCATGCTGCTGCATAGAGCTTGATTGGCTGTTTCTCCTAGTTTATCCGAGTAACCCTCTTCTTTTGTATACATGTTAAGATCAGTAAATCTTTTACATGAAACATGTTAGGTTTAGCTTTATGTAAAGGTCAAGATTCTAGTTAAGATAGAACAGTGTCTTGTTCTATTGAAGGTAGATGCAATTTAAACCAATTGTATGAATGTAAATGCATCTGTACATAGCATCTATGCTGAAAACATTGTTGAAAGCTTTTCAAATAAAGGAATTGAACTGCCCTTGACTAACCTTGTAGTTGAGACTTGATATGTCAACTATTCAGTGTGGTAATTTGTATTTGGCTTATTTCTGGTATTAATTTGTTTGTGGTGGCTTAATGGGGACAACAACTTATCTGTTAATATACAAACAACTATATCAATACAGACCGCTACATCCATATAGGTCTTAACAGAAAACAAACCGAACAGCCCCTAAGCCGTATGTATGGCTGAGCGAATAAGCCGTCCAGACCATTAAGCTCATTAAGCTGTAAGTAAATAACCCCAAGACCAACAGATGAAATTATTCATGAAATGTAGCAAATTTCATGGAACAACCAAGTAAAAAGGCATCAAACTAGAACATGTTCAAATGTTATCTCTTCAACCGAGAACAACTTCCGTCGTTCATAATCGTTCCTGAATACTTGACTATCGTTCCATTGCCTCATGAACCCTTCAACCTAACATTCACAACCATTAATTAGACTTTAATGTTTGCCAAAAGTCTGAACTTAACCGTAGAGTCATAGTTCGGTTACGAACCTGTGTATCACATGCTTGTTTTAGTTCCACAACATCCCTTTTCCGTGCAAGGCTTTTCGCATATCTTCTGAGCAACTGATACTCTTTGTAATCTAATTTCTATATCAAGCAATCAAAGATTATATATGTATTGTTGTTGAGTTTATTGGTGTATGTTAGAATATGTGGAACCTATTTGCATCTCTCTCACGACAACAAAATTGGGTTTATAAGACAACAAAAATGTCTAAATGTTCTAATAGATTGTTTTATAGGACTTAAGTTCTCAAGGCCAAACAATAAAACGTCAGATCTAAAAGTGTTACAATAAGTTTATAGGATGTTTTGGGCATCATAACAGGTTTTTCGGAACATTTTTTGAAATAAAGCATCCTGTAACAAGATGTGGTCATACACTTCTAAGATGTGTTCTATAAAAAACTAGCTAAGAAACTTAAGACGTCCAAAGACCGTTCTATAAACTTATTGCAACACTTTTAGATAAGACACTTGATTGTTTGGTCCAATAAACTTAAGTCTTGTAAAACAATATGTTAAGACACTTGGACATTTTTGGCATCGTATAAAGCAATTTTGTTGTAGTGTCTAAAAGATATCTTATAACGATATGAAAGGTTGCTACATATATACAGGTTTGATGATGGTCCATTTATAGATGATATGGGACTCCAACAATATGTATATATGTTTGTGAAAATGAAACAGGAATGCTACTGCACCAGTTCTTTCTTTTGTTCTCCAAGCTCGTATGCACGTTCGTAGGCTTTGAGTCTCTTTGAGGTAACATCTTGAAGCTCCTTCTGTAAATGACTGATGTTTTTTCTCACAAATTCCAACTCTGATTTAAGTCGTTTAACTCTACGTTTACGCCCTGTTAGATCCCTCTCTATTTTCTCAATCTCGTCTAGCCGAATCTGGTAACAGAGATCTAGTTAGATTATATCAAAAGTCGAAAAAAGATGATAAAAATCAAGGGGGGAAACATTACCTTTATTTTATGTTGTATGAAACGATTGGAATCTATATCACGCTTTGACAATCTTTCTCTCGGGTACCAATAACTAGGAGGGTCGGGTTCTGGTGCATTGTATACTTCTCTTGTTTCCATGACGTTTCTTATTTCACTATACATTTTCATTTCGTCTGCCCGATTCTTGTTCCCATGTCGGATTCCGTGCTCCATGCTCCCGATCTTCCAATTTCATAACCAGAAGACCATGTTAATTTTTCATAGAAAGCAACCATAAGCTAGCTTATTGAAAAAGAACCCTGTTTGATAAGCTATAGACTAGCTTATAAACTGACCTTTGAAAACAATTCATATAGTTTTTCAATAAGCTTCAGGTATGTCCATTTTTTTTCCAATTGAGTAATTTTTCAACATCTGTTTTTTTAGGTCATTTTATATTGTCATATAGATTAAAACCAGTTTCTACAAAAAACCGTTCATCAACTAATTTGTCATACCAGATGATTAAGATCTCGTGTACCGCACGATGTCATTCCAGTGGATTTCTTTGAAGACAGAAGCTCTTCCTGGACTTGTTCCAAATAGTCCATGTCCTTCCTATCTTTCTTGATCAGCCTTTTCGATCCCATTGGCCATCTTTTTGATCGGTCCAACATACGAAACCAGTTGTTCTCGGCACTGAATTTCATCGGTAAACGAAGCTCCACTTTACCTAGAATCGCTTCAAGATACTTGATTTCTTCCTTACGCCAATCTATATGCTCATCACACTGCGAAAACCACATTAGTTTCTGGTGTATTTGATGTTCATCTGCCTGTTTAACCAATTTAGCAACCAGTTAGTTTTCATCATATTCCATTGAAAAAAGCTACAAACAGTAAGACCCCGATTACAGTTACCTTTAGCTGATCTATGTCTTTCTTTATACGAGATTGAGCGACAGTCATCGACTGATCTTGCTTGTCGGCCGCTTTCTTTTCTAGTTTATAAGAAGCTCGAAACTTGACTAAATAAAACCGACCATGAATCTGGTTTCCTCTGTCTCGCGACTGTAGCCCCATCGGATCACTTTCTTTTCGTTCTTCCATTTGATTCTTAATTGTTGGTGATCCTAAGGTTTATGATTCAATTTCTTATGATTGACTTGTATTTATGAAGCTATTAGGAGCAGCACTTGCACCCCACGGCAAGAAAGTCAAATGTAACCTTTCATTTTATTATTGCCTTGTTGGTGTTAGTTGCAACCCCTCCCCATTCTCCTACCGAGAACCGTTCAAAAACCGATCGACCCAAATTGCAGACAATCTGATTAAATCCAACTAGTCAAACCGTTAACTTGCCAAGCTCTAAATAAAATAGGTCGACATTGGGTTAGACATAGCTCAACCCTCCAACCCATATATTAGAACACCGATAAGTTATAAATTATATACACACTATATAGTCTGTAGTGGTCAAATCTTTCGTAATATTTCTTTTCTCATCTTTCGTAAAACTTATATATAGTTTAACCCATCAAACCAACCCGATCTAACTCAAATTGCAACAGTTGGGATGGGCTATCCTTTTTAACGGGTTGGGTCAAGTTGACACTTTTCCAAAGTTTTGTTATTGGGTCGGGTTGTTTGAATGAAACAAACGACCCTATCCATGTGACTAAGAGGTCATTTACCTAATTACTTATCCGGTAAGTACTTAGCGGTAAAATTCAACATTATCATCTACTTACTGGGTAAGATTTCAGTTCACCAAAATGGCATCGAATGCGACAATCTACCTGGTAAGCGTTAACCGCGGTACGAATCGTCACCCTTACTTACCAAATAAGACTCTCGGTTCTTGCTTTCACTCTTACCGGGTAAGATTCTTGGTCCTTGCCATATTCATCCAGTAAGGTAATGTGACTTGGTAAACATTTACCCGCATAAGCGTTTGGTAAATGGCCTCTGATAATATTTATTTAAAGTAGAAGGGAAGATATTTCATCTCAGAGCGCAAAGCGTTCTCTGGTGAATATTAGAGCTTTTATAGTGGCTTTTGAAGATGAAAGTATTTGATTGACAAACATTTGGATAATTCTTTCTGTTGAGTTTCAAGAAATGGATAGGATGAAAACATAGAACTGCCAAAAAGGGAAGTTTTTTAAAGAGGTCAACAATCCGTTGAAATATACTGTAATTCGTTGTTATTTTTCTAGACAAAATCTTTAATGAAGTGATATCTGATATCTATATGCTTTGTACAACGAGTTAGGATTATTACTGATAGCGATGAATACTGGTTGAATCACAGTCTCACTGAATATAGACATCTTCAAATTGAATCCATAGTCGGCAAGTTGGTTCCTCATCTAAAGGATTTGTGAACCCGACAACGTATCCGTCCTAATTATGTTTCCACAAGTTCGTTCAAAACTTTCGATTCGATAAAGTTTGGCACAAGTCTATAACTTATAAGTTTAACGTATCTACAGAGTGGAAGCTATAAACAAACAAGAACGAAGGATTGTTTATGTTTGTTCGTGTAACTTTAACTGAACAAGTAAACAAACACGAACATATAAATGAACAAAAGGTAGCATTCCAAAACAAGTAAAAGGCATCAAACTTCAATAATGTTTAAACGATATCTCTTAAACCCTTCGACGCCAACTTCCTTCTCTCGTACTCGGCCCGGAATGCTTGACTATCGTTCCACTGCCTCATGAACCCTTCAATCTAACATTTATAGCCATCACACTTTGATCGTCACTAAAGTCTGTAACGATTATCATAAAATTGGGTTTATATGACGTAAAAAACGACTACGTGCTCTAATAGATTGCTTTATACTACTTCCGTTTATAAGATTAAACAATAAATAGTTACAATAAATTTATAAGAAGTTTTTGAGCATTTTAACAAGTTTTTTATTACATTTTTTAAATAAAGTGTTGTATTAGGTATTTTGTACGAACTAAAAGTGTCATATTTAAAAACAAGTGTTTTATAAAAATATGTGTTTATAGATTCGGACTTTATTTTAAATATGTCCTAAACAACTTGTTATGAAGCCAAAAATATCTTACAAATTTATTGTGACATTTTTATATAAGACACTTTATTTTTTGCTTTTATAAACCCGAGTCCTATAAAACAATCTATCAGGACACTTAGTTTATAAACATGAGTTTGTTGCAGTGAGCTTATAAGTTTTAATGTCATCGTAGTCATATTTTGGTTTCCAACCTGTGTATCACACACTTGTTTTAGTCCCACAACATCCCCTTTTCGTGCAAGTCTATTCGCATACGTTATGAGCGATTGATACTCATCGTAACTTGATTTCTGCATCGATCAATCAAACGTTATGCATCGTTGTCAAGTTATTAGTATGCGTTTGCGAAATTGAAATAGGAATGCTAACATATGTACCAGTTCTCTCTTTTGTTCTCCAAGCTCGTAAGCACGTTTATAGGCTTTGATTCTCTTTGAGTTAACATCTTCAAGCTCCTTCTGTAAAGAACCAATGCTTTTTCTCACACGTTCCAACTCTGATTTAAGTCGCGTAACTCTATGTTTACGTCCCGTTAGATCTCTCTTTATTCTCTCAATGTCATCCAGTCGAATCTAATGAGAGAAATCTAGCTAGTTAGATCACACGACGAAAAAGGATGATAAGAATCACTGTAACAAAATTGGGTTTATAGTATTTTAAATGTCCTAGCAGAGTGCTTTATAAGACCAATTAATACATCTTATTTAAAAGTGTTACAATAGAACTATAAGATGCTTCTCAGCGTTTTAATTCGTTTTTTAGAACATTTTTAAAATAAAGTGTCATATTAGCAATTTTATAGAAAATATTGTATAAACTCATCTTTTTTGGACACTTATGTTTATATGACACTTTTTGAAATAGTGCTCAATAATATAGTTAATATAACACTTTATTCTAAAAATGTCTTAAAATACTTGTTAAAATGCTAAAAAAACGTCATATAGACTTATTATAACATTTTCATTGTTTGGTCGTATAAACTTAAATCTTATAAAATATTTTATTAGGACATTTAGATATTTTAGATGTCTTAAGAACTTAATTTTGTTGTGGTGAATCAAGGAAGAAAAATATTACGTGTATTCTATGTTGCATGGAACGATTCCAATCTGTATCTTGCTTTGACAGTCTTTCTTTCGTGTACCAATAACCAGGAGGGTCGGGTTCTGATGCATTGTACATTTCTCTTGTTTCCTTGACGTTTCTTATTTCACGATACATTTTCATTTCATCTGCCCGATTCTGGTTCACATGTCGGATCCTGTGCTCCATGCTCTCGATCTACAAATTTTCGAACCAAAACACCGTGTTAATTTTTCATAGAAAGCAAGAGTTTAATAGTCACTACAACAAAATCGAGTTTACAGGACACCATAAATATATAAGTGTCATAACAGATAACTTTATATGAGCAATCAATTGTGTGTCCTATGTAAAAGCATTGTAATAAGTTTATATAACGCTTTTGGACATCTTAAATGGTTTTTTTAAGACATATTTGAAATATTGATTGCTTTTTTATATGACTGTTGAGAAATGTCCTATAAACATATTTTTTATGGGACACTTGTTTTTATATGTCATTTTTCAAATAATGTCATATAAAAAAAATTAAATAAGACATTTTATTTCAAAATTATTATAATAAACTTGTTAAGACACCTGAAACCGTATTATAAACTTTTTTTTTGAAGTATATAATATTTATATAAGACAAATGCAACAAATAAACTCACACACCCTCCTCACATATGGTGATGTTTGAACCCCTGACCTCCTAGAAAGCCAAGGGCTACAATACCGCTAGGTCAAAGACCCTTTTATATATAGTACGTTATAAACTTACTGTAACACTTATACTGCATAAATATTTGGTGCTATAAACATAAGTACTATAAAGTAGTTTATCCTATCTAGACATTTAAAGATTTTAACGTACTATATATAAATCCGATTTTGCTATAGTACCGAGTTCATCAACCATACCAGATCGTTAAGCTCTTGTGTACGACACGATGATTTCTTCGAACACATAAGCTCTTCTTGAACTTGTTGCAGATATTCCATATTTATCCTATCTTTCTTGATCATCCTCTTTTGGCAACATTTTCGATCCGGTGTTTGACCATCTTTTTTATCGTTCAAACTTACAAAACCAGTTGTTCTTGTTCTTGGTACTGAACTCACCGGCAAACGAGGCTCCACTTCACCAAGATTCTTGATTTCTCTCGTCATCCATTCTATACGCATATCGCAACTCGAGAACCACATTAATTTCTGGTTTATTTGATGTTGATCGGCCTGTTAACCAATTTTTCAACCGAAAACCAATAAACATGTGAATTTTCATTAATTTGCATCATTCCATCCAAAGAAAAACATAAATCTACTACGTGGGAGGTTTAAATAAGAAAGTCAAGTATTGTGACGATGTAAGAAGGAAAAGGTTCGCACGTAAATCATTTGAAAAAAAAAACCTATTTAAAAGAATGCATATGTAAACTTATATGAATAATCTGTAACGTCAGTTCTTAACATATGCATATTCATATAGATTCTTTTTCAATTTATTCACATACGAATATTCCCTTATTACCATATTAAGCATTCTTATTTGTAATGATTCCTAAGATCTATTACAATCACCTTCTGTTGATCTATTTCTTCCATTATACGAGCTCGAGCAAGCGTCATCAACTGATATTGTTTGTCAGCACCGTCTTTTTCTACTTCATCTGGAGAGGGCCGAAACTTGACGAAATAAAACCGATGAAAGTGGTTTCCCGTGCTTCCATCTTGTAACTGTAATCCGATCGTGTTGCATTCCTTTTGTTCTTCCATTCGACTCAACGACATCTAATTCTTTTGTGAAATCAAAGTAAACGTTGGGAAATTGGATTTTGCAAAAAGCTAACCTTGATTGAAACCCTAATTCTTGGTGATGGTTCAGTACATCTTTAAGTTTGACTTGTACATATTTATCAAGTTATCAGGAGTAGCACTTGCACCCCACGGCAAGAAAATAAAGTCAACGTATCTTAATATATATATATATATATATATATATATATATATATATAGATATATATATATATATAGAGAGAGAGAGAGAGAAAGAGAGAGACTTAGGATCATGTCGATTTCATTTGAAAAAAATGCATTTTATTCACGAAATCGGTACAATTGACATTTTTCATGGATCAAACCTCGCTGACTTTTCCACAAGATCAAACCACAACTTTACAAACTTTTGATCCATCTTAAGAGTGATATATTATTATGCCCTTTTAGTAATGCCCAAATATTTCCTTTATTTAAAAGTATTTGTTAATTAACTATTAATTAATATTACTGAGTTTAATTGTGAATATTTACAAATTTATATAGATGTAGTAATAAGTTATAAACCTGTATTTTAAGAGGTTATGAATTAATATACAGTACCTAATGTTAGTTGATAAATTGTTTTTTTAATTTCATTAAACAATTTATATTAAAGAAAATTACATTATGATAAAATTAATATTGTGTTATTTTTATTTTAGGAAACAAACTTTTATTCTGAAGCAAATTTTACATTTAGAGTCCCTCTAACATGATTACCTTTAGCGATTGACACAAAAGAATTATCAACGAAATTCTGAAGCAAATTTTACATTTAGGGTTGTTTAGGATTGCTTATTTGAAACAACTTATACTTTTCTATAAAAACACATATCAACTTATTATAAATCAGAAGAGTTTAACTTCTTCAAAAACTTCTTATTACCGGTTTGACACCGGTATAAGTTGTCTATTCAAACACTCAAAAGTGTTTATTACCGGTGTCACACCAGAATAAGTCAATAAGTTGTTTTCATAAGCAATCTCAAACACCCCCTCAATCTATAAAATTATCTTCGAAAAATGACTCGCCTCCTTTTTATTACCTACATAAACATTTGTTTGGTTTAACTCGATATCATTTAGACGTAACTGATTATCTGAACAAAATATTGATATTCAATAAATGAAAAGTTTGTTCCAGACCTTAAAAATGATAGTTTTCAAAGTTTAGTCCCTAAAATATAAATCTATTTAAAGTTAGTTCTATTTTGAAGCAATTTTCTCTTTATAGTAAAGTTATATACATAAGATTTCAAATCATGAATTCGACTCACCATAAATTAATTAGTAATGTTTTTCCTATGTCTCGTACTCTCAGGTTTCTATTCACAGTCCTCAAATTTTCCATAAAAAACGTTTGACAATTTTTTTATTTTGTCATGTTTCGTTACCATCTGTTCAAAAGTCTTGGGTCATCACATAAATAAACAACCCATATACCTTTCCGACAAAAAAAGTCTACGTACATCTTATCTTCATATGTGAATTTTGCTGGTGCGTTTGGTTTGCATTAATATGAAAGTAAAGGCGCCCGCTACTTTTTCGCTTGTAATTCGATATGATTTGACATTGATTAATTGTCATTTGAGATTACTCATGGATCCTTGACGACAATCTATCAAAATCTACATGACCAAGACAGATTCTAACCAAAACGTTAAGACAGTTTACAGAGAATACTCAATCTTTCTAGAGGTAAAGGGTTCCAAACTCAACCGAATGTTAGAAATATGTGTGGATCAGGGGAAGACCTAGCTCCTTAAGGGAATACGATGACACAAGCCACCATTTCATTGCTCCGTTGTAGTGGAATTGAAAAAGATCTACGTTTTTTAAAGATACCAGTGTAATTTAAGCTAGCTGAGTTGGTTTATGAAATATGATTACACTTTTGTTTTTTTTTTAAAAGCAGGGTTCGAATCATGTTAGTATCAAAATAACTGTCTCTTTAGCTTTTAATTCGGTTTCTTTTCTATTGCTTTTGTTTTAGAAATAAATTCAGACCAAAACATGTATGCAATAATCGAATCGAACCATGTCTTTTCCTTGAACCGATGGTGTCTGCAAATCATACAAATTGGTGACTAATGTCAACCCAACTTACTTTTCTTAATACAGGCCCATATTAAGGGTCGTTATTAAATCAGTGTAAATTAAATATATTAATAGACTATATTATAAGACCAAAAAGTTACACGTTATATAAAAAATGTTATAGTAGAATCATGTTTTGACGTGTTTGGACATCATATAAGATTTTTTTGTACCTTTTTAAAACAAAATGTTATTTGAATTTTTATCCAACACTTTTGAGAAAAACGTCTTATGAGCCAATTTTTTTATAGAACACTTGTTTTTATAAAAAAAAAATTGTTTTATATTATGTCGTATAGTTTTAATCTATTTACATATATTTAATTTATTAATAGAAAACGAAAAATTATATTAAACGCACAACATTTAATAAATATTAAACATTATTTAAACACGTAACGTTTATTAAATGTTAAAACATAAAATTAAAATACAAAAATAAAAGCATTACTTTACTCGTCATTTTGGAGATAGTTTTTATATTCATGAAGTATGTTATGAGAGATTTGAGACATAATTATAGTAATTTTATTGCGTTAAGTTTGTATTTTTATTACATTATAATATAAATTATATTTTGAATTTTTGCATATTCGTTAATATATCAATGTTACATTTATTAAAAATCAAATATAATGTTAAATTTTATAACTTAATAAATAAAAATTTGTATTAATATTAATTAATGATCATACTGTGTGTATTTTCTTTATAACCAAAATCTCTATTTAGTAAGTTATTCATACATTTTTTATAAACATATCACAAAACATCAAAAAAAACATGATGTGACATAAAACAATTTCTTATTAAGAAATTATGCTCTAAAATTTCTTATATTATTAACTGTCACATCAACATAAAGTACTTTTATGACATTAACAATTACTAAAACCAATTTCCTATTAAAAGATCATACTGAGCTATTAAATGATTCATTTAAAATTTAAGGGTTAGTGTTTATTAAGTGGATGCAAGTTCCTTGAGGTTCCTATGTGGGACTAGTTTCTCACATCTATACTAAGTTTTAACACTAATAACTTCTACGATGATTTTAAGTTGGTTTCGAAGTTATTGGGTCAGCCTGTTGTTTTGGGCTTTGGACTTTAGGGTGTTACAAATGGTATCATAGTCGATTCTTGTACCATCGGGATGGTGGGGGCAAGCCTTATCGTGTATGATGAGTCCTCGAGAGGGGGGGGGGTGTTTGTAACATCTTAGGCGAACACCACATCATCGATTACAAGAGGGAAGATTCTAGGCAGGCCTGACGAGGACGTCGGGAGTTTAAGTGGGGAGTATATAACAACTCGTCTTACATTGGTCGAAAATATGATTTTTAAACTCCTTATAAGTATCAAGTTTCAACTCGTCTCACATGAGTCCTTGAGAAGGGAAGGGGAGGAGGGTCTGTAACATCTTAGGTGAATCTCACATCGTCAATTATAAGATGGTAGATTCTAGGCAGGCCTGATGAGGACATCAGGAGTTTAAGTTGAGAGTTTGTAACAACTCGTCTCAAATATATAAAAAGTGGGATTTATAAACTCCTTATAAGTTTCAAATTGTAGGTTACCAATAACTTCCACTATGGTTTTTAAGTTGGATTCAAAGTTATTGAATCAACCTCTTGCTTTGGACATTTGGGGGGTTCTATAATATCCTTTGATAGAACCTTCTCATTAAGATGCATTTTGATGGTTAGACTTTAATGTTAGCATATGGAATTGTATTTGTTTAGGTTGATTTTGTTGTTCCAAAATCATTTTAAATATTTCTTTTGTAGTTGGTAGGTGATGCTTTAAGACTTTAGTTGTACTTTCTTTATATAATTGTTTGGTTAATCCATCACAACTCTTAAACTCTAAGAAAACACATTACAACAACATGCTATCAGAATAGCTGCTTATATATATATATATATATATATATATATATACATATATATATTTAAGAATTTCATCCCTATGTTTTGTAAAAGATTGTTATTTTTGTTCCTCTAGTTTTAAAATTTTGATTTTTATCTCTATAGTTTGTAATTTATTGTGATTTTCGTCCATATGATTTGTAATTTATTGTTGTTTTCGTCCTTGAGACTAAATCTATTAATAATCCACCATTTAACTTAGGGGTGTTTTAGTCTTTTTGATTTTTTTTTTTTTTTTGGTATTTTAGTGTTTTTGTTTAATAAAACTATATATATTTTTTTTTGATAAAAGAATTAATGCATAAAAAATTATATTATTTTGTTATATTTATGATAAAACAATTAAATATTTTTTATACAAGTTGTTTTTTTATATTTTGATCATTATAGTTTTAGTGTCTTATTAGTTTGATTTTTGGTCACTAACATAATTCTTTTTTCTTCATTAGGACCAAATGATTAAATTTTTTATAGGACCAAATAATTAACTATTTTTAGGCTATTTTTACCTAACAAATGTATGTGATTTGATTAATAGAACGTATAATTGTTTAGTGTCATGATTTATTCAATTATACAAAACAAATATATGTTTGATATAAAAGTATCAATATATATATATATATATATATTAGTTCAAATGTTAATCCAAACTATTGTGTTAACTTTATAAACTTTTTTAACCAATCACAAGCCATCTTAGAATTTAATGATTAAATAAACTACTTATTAACTTTAAAAACATTAAGAACGAGAATTAAGTATTATCAAATTATGAATTGTGGTAAATTCTTAATTACCCCCATAGGTGATAAAAGTGAAAATAACTATAAAAAGATAAGATATAACTTGAAATTGAATTTTCATCCAAACTTTGATCTAATATTGAATTAAATAGTTATTTTTTATTTACGTGACAAAACATTTTATGTAATAATTAAATATTTTATGTGATAGTTAAATATTTCTTTTTCATTTTATATAAACTAAAGTTATATGAAAGAATATCGCTTTGTTTTTATTACTT